GCCTTTAAGATTCTCTGTCTTTGAATTTTGCCATTTTGATTGTGATATGTTTTGGAGTAGGCCTCTTTGGGTTCATCTTGATTGGCACCCTCCATGCTTCCTGGACTTGGCGTGACTTCTTCCCTTACCAAGTTAGGGAAGTTTTCTGTCATTAATTTTTCACACAGGTTTTCTATCCCTTGGTCCTTTTCTTCTCCTTCTAGAATCCTTATGCTGCAAATATTTTTATGTTTCATGTTGTCCCAAAGCTTCCTTAAACTATCCTTGTTCTTTCTGTCTTCATTTTGTAGCTCTGACTAGGTATTTTTTTCTACTTTGTCTTCCAACTTGCTAATTCAATCCTCTGCTTCATTTAGTGTGCTTTTAATTCCTTCTAGTGTGTTCTTCATTTCAGATATTGCATTCTTCATTTCCAATTGGTTATTTTTCAAGGGTTCTATGTCCTTTTTCATGCTGATGTAGGTCCCACTAAGTTCCTTGTAGTTCTTACTATGTTCCTTGAGCATCCTTATAACCATTACTTTGAACTCTATGTCTGATAAATTGCTTGCCTTGATTTCACTTAGCTCTTTTTCTGAAGATTCCTCCTTTTCTTTTGTTTGGAGATTTTTTTTTTGTCTCCCCATTTTAGTGGTCACTTTGTGTTTGTTTCTATGCATTATATTGACTTGCTTTGACTCTCTGTCTTGTGGAGTGGCCTTGTGTGTTAGGAGTCCTGCGGAACCCAGTGATGCAGACTCCTTGATCTCCTGATCTGGATGCTCTAGGAATGTTCTCTGTGTTTGTTATGTGGACTCTCTTGTTGTATTTGGGTTCTGATTATTATTGGTCCATTTGTTGGTGGGAACTCCCCTATGTCTGTCTGGCTTAGAGGCTCAACCCCTACCACGTGTTGTACGCTGTTATGTAGGTGCTCGAAGAACAAAGCAAAACAATACAAAAACAACACCAAAACAAGAACCACCTTCCCTCCGACCACCACAGCAATATCAACAAGGGAGCAAAAAATAATAATAGCAGAAATAGAAATGGAATAGTAGAGAAAGGGGAAAAGGAAAAAGAATATGAGAAGAGCAAAGGAAAGAAAAGTGATTATGAGATGAGAAAGGGGAATAGAACTACTATTCATAATGAGCTGAAAGAGGAAAGTGGGGAAAAGGAACACAGAAGAGGTAACAAAAATAATAAAAGGAGAGAAGAGAACAGTGGAGTAATAAAGATAAGAGTAGTATAGAACATATGAAAGAAAAATTAGAGCACCAAAAATAAAAAAAAACATAACAGAATAAATAAAAAGGCCATGAAAAAGAAAAAATAACTAAGATAATGAAAAAAGAACCAAGTGTATTTGTCTCAGCCTAGTTTAGATCTTGCCTTCTGGTTTCTTCCTTTGGATACCACTCTAATGTCTGAGTCTGGTATATGCCAATGTCAGGTGCTGTCCATGTCTGGCCCTTGGCTGCCTTTTTGAAGCTACAAGTGATCCACAGTTTGTGGCTGATTCTTCCAGGCCTGACTGTATTCAGGGTGGGCTAAGCTGCTCTGCAGAGCTGGCTTTTATCAGCACTGGGTCCACAGGTGTGTCAGCAAATGTCTCAAGTTACCGCAGGATCCACCTCTGCCTGTCTCTGCCTACTAGTCTGTTGTCAATCTTAGACTAGTCTGTGATACCTGAATTTCGCATGGCAGGTGACTTTCAGGCTTCAGGGAAGATAGTGAGTGTATTCCCCCTTCCCCAAGCCACTAGTCTGAGTCTGTCCAGGATTATTGCCCTGTACTTGGAAGGGCGGGGCCCCTAGTAGATTTCCAGAGCCCAGATTTTGGGTCTACTAGATGCCAGAGGTATTTCTGTGACACTCCTGTGTTTGGGAAACAACAATCTGTTTCCCAAGATAGCATATGGATTGGCTGTGCCCAGTGCCAGCCTCTGACGACCCCTGAATCTTTTTATGTTGCTCTCTCCTCAGGAAGGGTTAAGATTCAGGAATGGAGAAAAGAAAGGAAAAACACCCCCAAACAAAACAGAACACCAAGACAGCAAAACTGAAAAAAGAACAAAAAAAAGTTGCTGAGTGAAGTAAACAGGTTTTCCTGATTCCTAAATTCTCAATGAAACCTACTCTTTATCTCTTAATATTTCCCACCTTCAGCTCCAGTGCAGGGATCCAGCTCATCAAGTATCCTTATTTTTAATTTTGTTTTGTCCTTTTTCACCAGGAATACAAAATGAAATTTGCTCTGAGTTATAGGATAGTTTGCATATGTTTTGTCTAAATATCGAAACTAGTCATAACATAATATTTTAACATCTAAAACGCTATTCATGTATGGGGAAAATGAGTCAAATTAAAGCAATTTAATTTTGAGAAAATTGGGGAAAAAATTTCTCCTCAATCAATGAGGATAATTATCAATGTTGTATCTACCAATGTTCAAGTCCTTTACTCTTAGAATTGGGAGGAATATCCTAAAGTTTTAGAAGACACATGATAGTCAGTTAACCTTAAAGTTAAATGTATTGTGTTAAGAATTTTTATATCCTTCATCAAAATATGGCTTTCAAACAGAAAAGTACACAAATCATAAGCCAAGCACATCCATGTACCTAGTACTCAGAGCAGGAAAGAAAACATGAATAGAACCCTCAAGGTCTCCTTCTTGCTCCTTTCAAGCTATCACTTATCTAGCACCATAGATTAATTTAACTTGTTTTGGAAACTACTGTGTAAATTAAACCATACAATTTGTTAGTTTTTTGAGGGGGGACCGGGAAGGATCTGGGCTTCTTTTGCTCAATTATTTATGTTGTATGTTATAACAAATTAATTCTTATTGTTGTATAGCATTCTGTTGTTCAGCTACACACTGGATGGATATTTTGGGTTTCTAGTTTTGGCTACTATGAACCATAGTACTATAGATATTATATGTCATCTTCCAGACATGCATATATTTCTTTTGGGATATATGTACAAGTGCAGTTGCTGAGCCATATATGTTCAATTCTAACATATACTGCCAGTTTTCCAATTTACACTCCCATTAGCAGTATATGAAAGTTTCAGTTGATTCAAATTTCTTGGCACCACATAATATTAAAGCATAATAAGTTAAGGGTTCATGTTGTAATCTTTAGGGTAACTAATAAAAGAATAACAAAAGAATATATAACTGACAAGTTCATAAGTGAAAGACTGAAATAATAGAACTTCAGTTAATCCAGAAGGCAAGGACAGAGCAAAACAGTTGGGTTAAATAGAAAAAAAAAATTAACGATTGATCATATAATATAAACCATATATCAATGATTACATTAAATTTAAATGGACTACATACTTTAAAGAATACTGCATGTAAGACATCTTAAATATAAGGATACAAGAAGAATAATTATAAAAGGATAGAAAAAGTTATATAAGCACTAACCAAAAAAAATGCTGATATAGCTATATTGATATCAGACAAAGTAGCCTTTTAAGTAAAAAGGAATTCCTATCTTTCATGACAGCATAGATGGAACTGAAGACTATTATGCTAAGTGAAATAAGTCAATCAGTGAAAGACAAATATCATATGATCACTTAAGAGGAAAATAATGAACAAAATAAACTAATGAGCAAAATGGAACCAGAGGCATAGAGTCATGGAACAGACTGACAGCTGTAAAACAGGAGGGAGGAAGTGGCAACTGATTGAAAGAAGGCAAAGGGATTAGTCAAAGAAAATATATGAAGGACCCGTGGACATGGGCAATGGTGTGGGGACTGATTATGGAAGTGGGGGATGGGCTGGGTGGAGGGGGGAACATATGGGGGGAAAGTGAGATTATTGTGATAGCATAAACAAAATATTTAAAAAAGAAAAAAGAATTATTAAAGTTAAAGGATGTTTTGTAATGAATAAAAGGGTTGAGTAGTGCAACTCCTGGTTAAAAACCTATGTGTGATTTTTTTTCAAGCCAACCACATGCAATTACAAAAGCTTTACTTGGCAGGCCTCCAGGGGGAAAGCTGCCCTCCCCAAACCAGACTTGGTGCATAGTCAGTGCCCTGCAATCCCTGGAGGGAGTTGCAGTCAAGGCCTCCCTGGTTGACCACAGTCTTACACATAGCTACGTTCCTAGCTCAGGGGCCTTCAGTCAGAGGCTTCTTTATCAGGAGCCCTAAGTGGAGATCTTCCTTAGCTGCCTCTGCTGAAACCACCTTGGCAGGAAAAAGAGGGGAGCCTCAAAGATACTTTTTCTCTCCTTTAACTCAGTACTCAGTACTTTTCCAGTCTTAGCTCTTCTCCCTCTCCCCTTCAGGGGGCCTTGTGTCCACAATACTGCAGGAGCCTTTTGCTGGGGTCGCCCAGAGCAGTGAGACATCCCCACCTCTCTGCTGACCCCCATGACTCCACCTATTCCATGAGGGAAATGGACGGGGAAGTGGTGCTTTCTCCAGTTTAATCTTTTGCTTTATTATCACAGTTAAGTGATAAAAAACTTGACAACTACTTGTATTTTTTTTTTTTATCTTTTTGCTTTAATTTGCTACTCTGACAGCTCTGCTGAGTTCCTGATAGGTTAATCCACCTGTAAGCTATAATAATTCTAAATTTCTATGCCCCTTAAAAATAACATACATAAAGCAAAAACTAATAGATGCTTAAAATCTGTTGAACTATAACATACATGCAGAAAAATATATAGACAGGGGTGTACAGCTCAGTAAGTAATAACAAAATGAGTCTATCAATATACTGAACACACACAATAGTACCAGCCCTTCTGAACACTCCCCTGAGATGCCTCCCAATCACCACTCCTTTCCTCTTTCCTAAAGGTCGCTACTGTTCTGACCTCTGATTCAATAGGTTAGCTTTGCCTGTTTTTAAACTCTATGTAATGGGATCATCAGCATATATTCTTTTGTACTTGGCTTTTCACTAATATTATATTTGTTAGATATGTTCTTAAATATCTTCTCCTAAGTGTTAACTTGGTATTATTATCTTTTCAGGTGTTTTAAAAAATTATTGTGAGAGCTTACGTATATTAAATGTTGAAAGAAATGGAAATATAATCTATACCTATAAGGTATGTCTGTATCTCTCTTCTTATGGTTAAAATATACATAGCATAAAATTTACTATTTTAACTATTTATATTCTCCTTTTACAGAATTTTATACTCTATTTTATTAAGGGGTAACAAATAACTTTTGTTGGCATTTAACCTTTAACATAGGACTTTATTATTTTGTGAGATTGAATATGGTAACAAATTCGGTCTTCTGGTGGTGATTGCAGGGGGTGGGGGAATAAGACTAAATGGTAATGGGGACTAAAGGGGACTAAACAGTAATGGAAAAGTAAAAATTATATATTAAAAATCAGTCTTCTGTTTTTTAAATAAAATAGAACTGTGCACGATGTCTGACACACCATTCAGTGTTTTAAAATAAATGAACAGTTCTATTTTATAGAGGGAAGATGCCAAAATAGATGTTTAAACATAATTAATATGTTAAATTTTTATCTTTCAGGAAATATTAGGTATAATTATTCTACCTCACCTTTTCAGACTCAGATATGCTCAGACTTTTGAGGCATTATTATTTAACAATGTGTTTTCAATATTAAATGTTCTAAGAAAATTTAACTTTCTGATAACTTTATTATAGTAGAGAAACACAAAAGAATAATTGCAGTGGCCAGTTTGCTTTATACAGTTGTATTGCTGTACATTTTTTGTTGCTTAAAAAGCTATTATTTTAAGTTGTGTCTATCGGTTGTAGGCTGCATTTAAGAAACTGTATGATTTAAAAAGTTTTACTTATAAGAATATCATGATCTTGATCTAGCCACTCCCAATATCCATCACCTATATTTTCTTAGATAAATGGAAGTACAAAGAGATTCTCCCCTTCACCATGCTTAGTCCTACTAGACAGTGTCCCCTAAACTCACTGAGCTGAAACAGATTCGGTCCCGTTCTGACAAGCATGCTGGCTATAGAGCACTTATTGTTAATGTTGATTGAATTAGTGCAGTTTGAAAACTTGTAACATCCTAACTTTCTAAATAATGGCATTTAATAAACATCTAGTTAATTTATTTTTAGGATGATAAGGGAAATGTCTTCTTTGGATTATATGATTGCCAAACCAGACAAAATGAGGTAAAAATCACCATTAATTATAGATTACTTATTGGTTACTTTACTGCTTTTAGAGTTTTCCTTATTTATGCCTCCTTTTTCTAGGACAAATTCTCATTTCATTTTCTAAAAATTTAGTTTTTATTTCTTTGTCATTCTTCCCTTCTCCCTTTTACTCTCTCTTGGCACCATTATCTTTTTTTTTTTTTTAATGCAAAGACTTGGAACAAAACATTAGCTGATGTCTCGTAGTTTTTCTGAGATTTAAGCAAAATTGGTTCATACCGATTACCCAATGTTCTATAGGAATGTAGGGAGTCCCGTGCTCTCCCCAAGACTTGTCTGCTGCCACAATCTCATAATGACCTCGAGCTCTGAGTTCTGCTTTTGCTTAACCTTCACTTACCTTGCTTCTCAAAGATCCAGGTATAGAACCTAGTCTGCTTTTCTTAATTTTTCCCCAAACCACTCACATAAGGCATTAGATTATGTGACAACCTTCGTCTACTTCTTGGTGCAAATGGGAAGGAGTCATTTTGTGCCTATGCAAAAACAATATAAAAATGTTAAGAGATAAGAAGTCTAAAAACGTACACTGGCTCAAAAGCTTCTTCAAAACATGTTGTTACATGAAAAAAGCAAGTTGCCAGGATAATAGACTCCATTTAAATTTTAAAAAAATCACAAGAAAACTATACAACATGTGCATAAATATATACTTAAAAACTCATTTAAGAAATCCTAGAAGTCTAAAGAGCAAATTACTAACAGGTTTCATTTCAGAGGGGATTTGGGATTGGATGAGCATAATGGAGAGCTTTGACTTTTTATTTGGTAGTGTTTGCATGTTTTAAATACTGTGGCTATGCTCATGTGTTATTTTATAATTAAAAGGATAAAACACTAAACAGTAAGTGTATACATCCATGATTCTTCCTCTTACAAATTAGAATTGCTTAATTAGAGAAGGAATCAAAAGAACCCAAAATTTCTCACATGAATTCAGAGCTTTCTTATTCTTAGTTCTTATTCAAAGCTCACTTCCTGTAATCAAGTGTTTTTCTGACTTCCCATCATATTTTTATCAACTCCTGGCCATAAGATTCTAGTGTGCTCTTGGTGCTTTTTTTTTTGTCTGCAGGTACTAATTACCTTCTTAATAATTCTACTACTTACTGTTTCTCTTAGTCCATTCTCTTCTGACATCTAAGATTCTATCTTTCCTTATACTATATTTTCCTCTTAATACTATATTTTATAAGTTTGCCTAATATAAGTGATTGTCACCAGTTCCTCAATCTGTATCTCACATCCTCCTTCTGCATAACCATTTTTATTTTCTTTAATATTCAAGGAAATGGAGTCTTGCAATATTTCAAAGAGCAGCAAGACAATCAAAAGTAAAGATTAAGAGAGAAGATTACTTTGCTAATGAACTAAATAGGAAAGTCCTATAAGAGATGTACTTGTTATAGTCTCATAGACATAACTAGTGATATGTTATATAGTTTGATTAAAACTTTACTTGCCTCAGTAATTATAATAGCTAACATTTGAGTGCTTATTATATATGGCAGACATTGTATTAAGTGCTTCATATGGATTATCTCACTTGAGCCTTATAACAATCGCTCAAGATAGGTATTATGATTCCTGTTTTACTGACAGGAGGATAGAGAGGTTGAGTAACTTGTCCAAAGCCACACAGCTAGCATGTGGCAGAGTCAGGGTTAAAACCTGGGTCTAGTTTGGCTCGTAGGTCTGTGCTCTTAATCGCTATACTCAACTAAGTTTCAGTGCCAAACATGGCCTCCAACAGCAAACCAGTTTTTCCTTAAGAAATAATCAGACATTTCTCAGTATGAATAAATTGGCTCATTGACTGGTTCTTTGGTTAAATGTTTGTCACAATGATACTTGGTAGATAGCTAAATGGGAATTTGTATTCATAAAATTATTATTTAATAAGAAACTCCAAATTAAAAAAATATTTTGTTTTAATAGCACCTCTATACATTTGAGAAAGACTTGCAAGTTATCAGTTGCTCTGTCAACAGTGAGAGAACTTTACTTGGTGAGTTAAACTTTTTTATTGCTACATGTCAAGCACTAAACTACATTTTTTTTGAGTTTCAAAGTGTTGGATTTTTATAATGTTTGATTAGTGTATTACAATAATATTCTATTAAGAGATGCTCTTAGGAGATTAGATGTGAAATAAAGAACGTGTTGAGTCTACCTACAAAAAAAGATTGCTTTGTATTCTGCCGTAATCATCCACTGACAGATCCTTTGAGCCCTCACTTATTTCAGATAGAAAATGGTAAACTTTAACAAGCCACTGCATGGATCATTTGCTAATGACTTATTTTTTTTTTTCCATAAGCTGCAAGTTTAGTTCAAACTACTAAAGAAGGAAGAAAGAATGAGTTTCAACCAGGTAATGAAATTATATTTTTTTGGTGCCTACTGGTAGATGAAAATTTATTGAACTACTTAGTGAAATTTCAGGCATCTTTACAAATAGCTTTTCCTCAGAACAAAAAGGTAAAGATCATGTCAAGCATTAAAAAAGAGTTAAAATTTTTTTTCAAGTAAACAAGGAAGTATAGAAAATATAACAGTGAATAGCAGAAGTATTCAAAAGACAGTTAACACCCTGGCAGACTAAATAAACATTGAAAACACACTAGAACCCCATGTTCAGAAGCTTGTGTAAAGGATTGGTAAAAGCTTGGTTTTCCTTTAAGAATACTTTTTTTTCTTACATCTGGTTAACTCTTGACCAATATAGAATGCATTTTGACTAGTCTACCAGTTCTAAACATAAAATCGATTCTACTCATTTGCCAAGGCCCACTTCATAGTTTATTATCTATGTGATGCCCCACTCCCATCCTTTTAACATTCTATCATACACCTCTGTCTGTTCAGAACTCAACAAATATTGAGAGCCTGCAGTGGGTCATGCACCACGCATTGTGCTGGGGATACAACAGTACACAAAGAGGTGTGGCAGTTACACTCAGGGTGAGTTTTAGGGACTAGTGGTTGCGGGGGAGGGGTACCTCATGAAACATGTGGCCCACCCTCAAAGGAAGCCCAGTGGGACCAACTTTTCAATTTATGAAGAGAAGTGTGGACATTGATGTAAAAATTTAATTTTTAAACATTGGCTCAGATATTTTTTAAAAATTCTATTCTGGCAATGGTAACCACCTGTGGCTGGACCTAGCCTGTGGACTACCATTTTTCAACCTGTGTTCTAGTGGATCTCATTTCAGTCTCTTACTATTCCAGTCCTGCAGTGTGTTCTGGCTGTTCTGTTTATTCAGCACTTAAATTCCTTCTTTTGTTAGCATACTCAATACACTCAGATGTATTCTCCTGCGGTTGCATGTGATGGAAAAACCCTTTTACATACTTTCCACATTAGGCTCATGTGGCAGTTCCGGGCTCTCACAGAGCCCGCTTAGAGAGTGTCAGGGGAACCAGGGCTGGGTTGGACCTTCTCAGGCACCTCAGCTGAAAAGTTTCTGAGAGAAGTTGGTGAGCAGGATGTGTTCTCTGAAATCTTCTTTTTTTGAAGATTTTTATATACTTATTTATTTTTAGAGAGAGGGGAAGGGAAGCAGAAAGAGAGGGAGAGAAATAAATGCGTGGTTGCTTTTTGTGCGCCCCCCACTAGGGACCTGCCCACAACCCAGGCATGTACCCTGAGAATTGACTGAAAATTGAACTGGTGATTCTCAGGTTTGTAGGCCGGCACTCAGTCCACTGAGCCACACCAGCCAGGGCTGAAATCTTCTCATGCATAATACTCACCCACCCTTACCCCCCGCCACGTTACACTGAGAACCACAGCAGGCCTCCTCTTCTGGGCAGTGTCCTGCTCTTAGTGTTCTCTGCTCTTCGTAGAATCAGGTGCAATGCTCACTTCAGAGGTAGTGGAACTGGACTAGCTTAAGTGAAATAGGATCTAAGATATTGGTGTCCCGATCTTTAAAACAAGGGTATGGACCCTGATTTTGTGGGCTAATAAACCCCTTTTTCCAAGAAGAGAAAGACCCAGTTGCTTGTATTCCTCCCAGTCACGAAGCTAGATTAGGTCCTTGCACCTCCTAGTTCTTGAGCCTTATTCCTTTTAGCCTCAGAAATTGTTATGCTGGGAAACCCAATAATAACTATAATCTTTATGTGATTTTACCATCTATGCCTGATTGTCATGCAGAACTGTGCAATTATCTACATTATAAAATGTATTTTCAGACCAACTTTACTGTAAGTTTTGTTTGATTACAACATTAACCTATTCAGGTATATTTACTCAGTTTTGGAGTTTTGATGCCAGTGAGATTTGATGCAATCTCTGGTGAGATTATCTGATTGCTTCTTTAAAAATATTAAATTGATCATTGTTAGTTATTGGATACCTCATACTTTATCTTCTTAGCTCATCTCTCATGTCAGTCTCTGCAATGAGAACCAGCTCTGCCCAAGTGTCATTTGACAGGCAGTGCCTTACCTCAGCTTCTTTACCTGCTTCTTGCTTTTTGTCCAGAGCCCTTGGGAAAACCTGTTTACTACCTGCATGTGTACCACCTGGAAGTATGGTTGGAGATAGGCCAATAGGGTAGGCCATGCCCACCAGGGGAAAAGGAGATGAAGGATAAACACTCCCCCTTTCCATCACTAAAGTGGATAATTCTGAGGTACCCTCCATGCAACTCAAGACCCAAGGGGGTATTTAAGTTGATAATGCTCCTGATACTGGCATCCTCTTCTTCCTGGTTCAGTCTCCCCACTCTCTCATGATAGCCCCTTATGGCTAAAATGATCCTGTTCCCTGAGATAACGTCTTGCTTTAGTTTGGGTTTCCCCATAAGCAAAGTCTGAGGCAAGTATTTTGGGGGAGGATCCTTGCAAACACTATTAGAGCAGTACTTAAACAGAGCTCTGAAAGAAGGGAGGAAGCAAGTGTGTGGCTAGGGGAAAGCACATTCCTCTCTCAGTGAACCGCCAGCACAAAGGCCCTGAGGCTAGAGTGTGCTTGGTGGACTCACTGTTCAAGGATATGCAGAGTCAATGAAGCTGGAGTGGAATGAACAAGGGACAGAGGAGCAGGAACTGAGACCATAGGAGAACAAGGGTCATGTGCAGAGAGATCGTGGAGATCCTTAGGAGGCTTTGCTCAGTTGAGATTTCAGAAATGATGTGACCAGAGAGCACTATAAGACCTATTATAATATTTTATCCTTTGAATGAATATTTTGAAAAGGCTTATTTTATCTGTCCATGAATGACTTGGTAAGCCATTTGATTGTAATATGTAGTTGACCTCAAGTTGTTAACACTCTATTACTTATAATAAATTTTTTTCCATTGCAAATGAGGCACACTGTAACATCTTTCAGATGGAAGGTAGGGTTCATTGGTCCACTCACTTTACAACACAGTTTTTATCAACAATGCTTATTATCTTGGCTGCAGCCATGCCAGAGTTCATGTGTTATTTAGAAAATGGCCTACCATAGCCAACCAGGCCCAGCTGCCCCCTTCACCCTCTCCACTGCAGAATTCGTTAACCCCAATGCGCAGGGATCTCCACTGGGCAGCAATAGGGGTGGCCATGTGTGTTGGGCCCCACTGCCACTGAGACCTCCAGAGCCCCCAAGTACCATTATAGACAGTTAAATGCTGTAGCCGCTCCACGGCTGTGGTTTGCTTTAAGTGTTCCAGTAACCAGAGCTTCTTCAGAACCAGGTCCAAATAGACTTTTCTAAGTCTTTTGGAGCTTATACTAGAACTCATTTCTCTAGGACCTTAATTCAGAGTATGTTCTGTTACACAGTGAAAGCACATGGTATGTTATTGAAAGAAATTCCCACTTGCTCTTATCATTATGCTAATCATATTAGTTAAGTGTCTTGGCTATTCTAAAGGAGGGAAGCATTAGTGTGGGAAGGTGGTTTCTGCCCTTGAATATCCTACCATTTCTCAAGGCAGGTTAATTTAGGAGATAGCTGGTTATCTCACTTGGGTACATATTCACTGCTAAAGAGGCCAAATAAATATAAGGTGATTCCTTATTTTCCAGTAAGAAGATTCCTCTGCCTGCCCCCCAAAAAGTTTTTTTAAAATTGAAATGTATATGCTTTTAGGGCAAGAAATAAAATGATCAAATGCCAGCTGTACTATTTAATATATTAATGTAGTAAGGAAAATTGTTTTTACTCATTTTCACATATTTAAAAATAATTTTTTGTTTTCAATTACATTTGATCTTATCCTTATATTTAACAGAATATTTCTATCACAAATATCTTTGACCCAATGTCTTTATTTATTCTTAGAGCCATATTTTGAGTCATCAAGCAAATTTCTAAAGCACCTCACTTTTATCTCTGTCCCATTTTTTAGAAATACAGACTTTTTGAATTGGTATATGATCCTAGATTTTTATTCTATGCTACAAGTACTCATTGACCAAACAATATTTGATTTTCATTTGTTCTGTCATTGTATATTTGTGATCCCATGTAATAATTCACTCACTGTCTTGATTTATAAATAATCTTTAAGATCATGTTTAGAGAAATATCCAGTCCTTGCAATTAGGAGGATTGTCCCAGAAATTGTTTTACATTCTTTGCCTTTTTAAAAAAATTAAATTAAGCAGTGCTGTCAGGTTACTTTTTTAAATAGTGAAAACTGGCTTTGATTCAACTCTAGGTCACTGTGCCACCCCCAAATTGTATATCGTTACTCAAAATAAAGTCATTGAAAAGTAGCTGAGAATATTAGAGTCTTTCTGAGAACTCAAACATAAAGCAACTTCTTTTGAGGTTTAATCTTAGGGAAGGGGAACTTTTGGCTTAAATTTGGAAATCTGTGATAATCCCATTATAGCCTAAATTCAAGGACTTCCTCCTAATTGCTATCTTCGATGCCATTTGCTCCATGTGACACTGAGGAAGTAAGTGGGCCTGTATCAGTGCAACTCCGGCCAGTGCTGCCAGTTCCTGAGGAAGCCAAGACTCTGTCCTATTGATGGGTGCTGTCAACTGTGACTTGTTCATGTGTCAAAAATATCTTTATATTTTCATATACAAACAGTATTTCCATCATGCTGCCGAATGGGAGTGACGCTGAAGTGAGCTGTGTTAGGTAGCCTTGGAAGCTGAGAGGCCCTGTAAAGCTGAGCTAAAAATGGCTGAGGAATGGAAGGAAGTTGTTCCTCATTCCATGCATGACTTCTCCTTTATGATGTTTTCTTTTTCTGTTTGAGGTTTTTAGAAATGTCAAAGTAAATTTTAAGAAAATTAGTTTTCTTTGTGTAACACAATAGGCAACACATTGACATCTTCCAAGTTCAGACCTCTGTGGAGAAGATAAGTTGTGGTATCCTGGTCTTCATTTCTCAAAGCCTCCATTACTTTGTAGGATCAAAGTGCTTAACTCTGTTGGTCGAAATCTGCCCCGTGAACAATGTGAAGGTTCTAAAAGCAGTGGATAGCTATGTTTGGGTACAGGTAAGTGAGAATGTCATTTAAGACATCTCATTAATCAAAAGACATGAGCCTAGAGAAAATGGTGTTTACAAAGTGCTTTCACACACATTATCACATTTAATCCTCAAAGCACTCTGATAAATGGTATGGCAGGAATTATTAACTCTTCCTTTGTAAACATGGATATCTTTAAAACTCAAACCTAGTTTCTCTGTCTCTATTATATCATGATTTGTCTGATAGTAAGGTAGTGTTTTACATGATAAAATATTGACTATCAAAACACATTTAAGGTAAGTTGAAATAGTTTATTTAATGTATTCATGTAGTTGACAGATTAAACATCTGTGATTAGATGATTTAACCCCATAAATTATCAACTCCATGAATTGATGCAGAAGCACTGTGTGTATAGTGCAGGTGGACTAGATAGATATAGTCAGTCCTCATTACTAGCACATTCTGAATTTATGAATTCTACTACTTGTTAAAATTTATTTGTAATCCCCAAATCAGTAATACTAATGGTGCTTTCAGTCATTTGCAGACATGTTCAAAGTGGTGAAAAATTTGTTCCCCAAAGCATACATTTCCAGCTGAGGTTGAACATGGGGACACTTTAACTTCATGATTTACTTCTCATACTGTAAAAAATGTTTTTGTGTTATATTTAGTGCCATGATTTTTTAATTTCGGGGCTTTTGTTAGTGATTTCACTGTTTAAAATGTCTCCCAAACATATTGCTGAAGAGCTGTCTAGTGTTCCTAAATGCAAGAAGTCTATGATGTGCTTTACAGAAAATGTGTGTTTTAGTTACATACGCTTCATTCAGACATGAGTGTATAGTGCTGTTGACTCTGAGTTCAAGACTAATGAATTGACAGTATATAGTAAATAGGGTGTCTTTAAACTGAAACACAGATTAAACAAAGTTAAGTATTAATTTGTTGACAAAAATGTTGTGACTGGAGTCTCACAGGAAGCTACCCTTTTATTTCCCCTAGGAGCAATGGTCAGTATTCAGTGTACAGTGTTTGTGGTAACTTTATAGAATATAGACAGATACTTGCTCATGCAGTGTTGCTCTATAGTTTCCTTGTGTAACATGAAGTATCTTCCTCCTTTCTCCCCGCCTCACTCCCAGCCTCGAGCCAATGTGTTTCCCTCTTGCATTGTGTTTTAGGAAAGGGGATAGTCTGTCACCTGGTTCTTCACTGTCAGCAGTCCTTCCAGCTGTACATTTTTGCTACCACTCCTGGCTTCACTGTGTGGGATGCTGCCTGCTTCCAGACAGGGCCTGGTGTGGAGCTCCTGAGCTACATTCCCCCTCCACCAGGAAGCTACTCTGTTTACACAGTCATCAGTATAGGCGTGACTGTGGGACAGAGCACACTTCCCTTCACTGGCCTGTTCTCTTGGCTTTCTCAGCATTTCCACCCAGGGCTGTCTAGGCGATGGTGATATTATTGAAGGATTGGGACCCTCAAAGGGATTTTGAACCTGGGAAGGGAAAATTTTTTATAAATATTTCGTTGTGCAACATTATGAATATATCAAAAACTATTTAATTGCATATTTTAAAATAGTTAAAATATGGAGTTTTATCTCAAATTAAAAAAAAAGTACATGATGCATGACTGCATCCATAGGCCAAAGGAAAAGTCTCCACCCAAATAAAGTAAAACTTATACTTACATTGTGATCCCATCTCTGTTCAGAGCCCTGCTCCCTGCTCCTCATGCCTATTTGTACCCCTGGAGAGAGACACTTCAGACTTCCATCCACGGCAAGTCCCCACCTTCCTGCCTCTCCCTCCCTTTTCTGTCTCCCCTTTAGAGAAACACCCTTCACTGCCCACTGAGTTTGGTCTTGCCTTTCAATCCATCACCCTCCATTTTCTTTTAAAAATATCCACAGTGGTCGCCAGCAGTACATTTCCCTAAATGTGCATGTGCCATCTTGACCCCCCTTGCAAAGGCAATTCAGCAGGACAGTAGTCAGTGGGGTTTGTATCCTAATCGGATGCCCTTTGAGGGTCCTTATCAATGTGAGGTGCATCTTCTAGATCGTTCCAGTGGATAGACACCCATCTACACCCCTGTACCACATATTTTCCAGTGATGAATATTAACAATCAGAGCTCCTTATTTGTGAAGATAAGTATTTCCCTAAAATATATATAGATTCCTACTCACCAGGTAAAAAAACAAAAACATAAAACAAAACAAACAAAAAAACTCAAACCTTGTGTGCTTTTGTAGAGCTGTGTCGGAAGCCTGTCTATTTATATTCTGACTTCTAGGCCCTAGGGTTGCTTCATAAAATGGGACTTTTAAAATCGTGTTCTCACTAATTACCACCCAAAGATCAGGCAGAGGTTTAGAATTCCACAGCACCTTAGTCCAGGTCACAGCCCTAAGCGAGCATGCCCTAGCCAGCTCTGTGGACCCAGGGCCACTGTGACATCTTCTGCAGGTGCTGCAGGTTTTGAGGGGCTGAGCATTTGCTCTTTGTTGTCTATGTGGTATCTCTCATCTTTACTTCTCCTCAACCCCAGCACATGAAATATCTTGCTTGATGTGCCCCATTTCACAAACAAGGAATAGTAAGTTCCATATTATTTTTGTAGCTGAATTCTGCATTTGCTGTTTTATAATTTTGAGATTATTGCTCTGAAGAATAATATGTAGTTAGTGTTTTGTTTTTCAATTCTAAAGGGGAAACATGACCACAAATAATTAAAAAATTAACCAGTTGTATTTCTAATTCGTCACTATGAGAAGTTAGGACACCAGGCAATATATTTTGTCAAAATTTTCCTAGTCTGTAGAGAGGATGCCAACTATAACATAGGGACATAGAGGTTATGTTCTTCCATTATGCTTTCAAGTTTGGAGGGAAAAAGCAAAACTCACTGGTGGAGCTTGTCTAGTAAGCTTTCATGTGACTAAATGAACCTGCTGAGTCACTGGAGTCATCCCATAACCGGTGTTCCCTCACATCGCAGTTGGCACCATCAGGCTATGGGTCTTGGCTGCCTGCTTGTCACATATGCGAGAGCACAGAGCCGGGGGAGTGGGGTGGGTCAAGCCTTTCCTTCCCAGGGGCAGTCATTTTATGCTTTGAGGCTTGTAAGTCTTATACCACTTGCTACCCTGTGACTCACTGTCCCTTCTTGGAAAGTCCCTGGCTATGTTGTGTTTTGTCTCTTGGATGTGAGACTTTGGAATTTGTAATGGAGAGTAGTTTACTTAGCTCTCAAACTAAATACTAGGGTTTAGTTGCACAACAAATGTATTGAGTGCTCTTATTTTGTGCATGTGAAATAGAACTTACTGTACAAATGTTATATTGTTTCTGATTGGCTTCAGAATCACATATTCTAAACAGTAAGTACCATCCCTAGAAATGGCTTGCACTTTAGCCTTACTGGTTTTTCAAAAAAAGATTTTATTTATTTATTTTTAGAGAGAGGGGGAGGGAGAGAGGAAGAGAGGGAGAGAAACATTAATGTGTGAGAGAAACATCTGTTGGCTGCCTCTCACATACCCCCAACCAGGGACCTGGCCCACAACCCAGGCACGTGCCCTGACCTGGAATCAAACTGGCGATTTCTTTGTTCCCAGGCCGGTGCTTAACCCACTGGGCCACACCAGCTAGGGCTAGCCTTATTGTTTAAATGAATTATGTTGGACCTGAGATCAATTTCTGCCTGGAAAACTGAGCTCCTGAAAGTGTTCCATTTTTCTGCTTGCTTCCATCTACAATATGTGCGTGCATGTGACTCACCTAAATTGTTCCGTGGTTCCCAGTCCCTTCTATGGTATGTAGTAGTATCGTGATCAAATACAACTTCTGAAATAGCTGTGTAAGCAGGGTAGTTGCTTATAGTTTTGATTAATTTTTTTTGCAGTTCCTCTATCCACATATTGACAGTCATCCTGTTCCAGAGAACCATCTGTTACTGATTTCAGAAGAGAAATGTAAGTGCCCCTTTAGGGGGTATGCAGGGATTTCACGAGTGGCACATCTACTGAAGTATGGGACGTGACTGAATCTTCTAAGCGTCCACTAACCATTGCTCAGGGTCTGCTGACCTTTGATGTCCATTTCAGACCCAGGGCTCCTGTGGAAGGGCTTTTCCTTTGGTCCCCACTTCTTGTTCCTTCAGACACTATTTCCTCATCCTGGGAATGATGGGCTCTTGCATATATGGGTTCCCAATTTTGTCATGTGGTAGGATGTTTGAAGAACAGTTGTGCTGGTCCTTTTTTGCCTTCTTCAGGCCCTCCTTCTTTAGGATGTCTGTCATAGAGGATAAGCATAATGTGAGGAGAAAGGCTTGGATGGAGAGAGGGGAGGGCATTAGAAGCTAGAAGAATTTCATGGCAGAACTTGAGGACACATACTAACTTGGTCAAATTCAAATAGAGGCAAATAATATTGGGATATCCTTTAATGATATTTTCTAGTTGGGGATTGGAAAGAGAAAGGACAAAATTCAGTGGTGTATCTTATCTAATAAGTCACCTTTCATGTTATAAGATTAAACTGCTAATTTATAATTTGAAAAATGAACCTGAGGGGTTAGGCTTGTGTTGAGTTCCTATGCTCTTGCCCAACTGTCTTTCTCACATTTTTGTAACTAGAACCGGCAGAAGGTAAGTATGGTGAATGAATCTAAATTGCTTACTGAGAGAAAGGGATCATCTACAAATCAGCCCAAAACATTTAGAGTTTTGTTAATGTGAAACTGATTCCTATAAAAATGCCTCCCCCTGATATTTTGTATGAATTTTCTATCTGATATTTTTACACGAACAGATGTTTGGTATTTGGAAACTGAAGAAAACCCTACCAAATGAACCCTTAATAACTGTACAGAAGACTGATGATATAGGGGAGGCAAAAGCCTGTTGAGGGAATGCAGGGGAGCAGAAAGGGTAAATGCACATGTTGTTGATATTGAGTAGCAGAGTAAATTCTGGACTTGAAACAGACTTAAAGGGGGTTGAAGAAAGGTGGGTTGTGTTTTGAACCTTCATTGTGAGATTGCTCTCTGTGATAATATTTTTCAGCCAGTTGTCTAATTTCCATTTTTCAATAAGAAATTAATTCACAATGGTTCAGTGAAAAGAGTACTTCATGTTTTTCATGAAGGTTAAATTGTCTTTCTGTTTTTTCTTTGTTTAAAGATATTGAACAATTTCATATCCAAGTCATCCAAGAAGGTGGAAATAGAGTGGTAAATATTTGAAATTCCTTTTGCTTCAGAGTTTTTTTTTCCCCCCCACAAAGAGTGATATTTCTATACTGCTAAAAATAGGTTAATGTTATAGAAATATAACATTTTCTTTATCTGATGTCTTTCAAATTATAGTCTTGCTGTTGTAAGATGTGAATTAATACAAGATATAGAGAAGGGTTAAATGTTTCCTTTACATCTCAGCCTCTAATCTCAGCCTCCTAATATAACTAGTAATGATAGGCTTGTGTGACTCTTTCTACACTTTTTTCCTTCCTCAGGTGCATGTATACAAGGATTCAACTGTTTTTACCAAATAGAATCATAACACATATATTAACTTGCTGCTTTTGTCTTTGCATTTTACTTAATTCTACCTCAACATAACACATATCAGGAGTATCTTATGGGTTACTAAATAAATATGTAACTTTTTTCTCTAATTTTTATGCATGGATACATATACATACATATATAATAAATGGGATTATAACATATGCGGGGGTTTTATGTAGTTCAATTTTCTTTTTTTTTCCTTTTTTTTTTTTTGCTTGTTTTCTACTTCTCCCTCACCATTTAACCTTTAACTTTCATTCATAATCTGGTATGTGTCCTTTCATACTTTTCTCCATACGTGTATTGGCCATCGTCCTCACCCCTGACACTCCCAAGGGTTTGTTTATTGTTCACTCCTTCCTCATTCACCTTTGTGGAATTACCTGCAAGTCAACAAGAATAGTACCAATTTATTCTCTAGAAGTACATAACAGTCCCCAGCATGAATGTACACAGTTTTCAACCATTGTCCCACAGATGGGCATTTGCTTGGTTACCATTTTTTAATTTTATTTGTTTGCATCAGAAGTTGTCACAAACATTTTTGTGTCTCATTTTTGTGTTTACATATTTCTTACACATATCTCTTGGGGTTAAATCCTGAGGGATTGATAATTGGGTTGATACTTTAATAAATTTCAACAGACTTTGCTAGGTTGCTTTTCAAGAAAAAAAGTAATAATTTGCAGTTTTACAAGCAAAGTATAACAAAGCCCTTTCCTCTATCCATACTGCTAACAGGTGTATTTGTCTTTAAAAAAGAAATCCAGTTCAATAGATGTTGATATCATTATTTTATCCTGCATTTCCCTTAATCTTAGTGAGTTAGTGCATCTACTATGCTTATCAGCTATTTGCATTTGTTTTTATAAAAGTTGTTTAGTTGTTTCCTTATCTGTTTTTCTACTGGGTTATCTTTTTCTTGACAATTTGTATGAGACGTTAACATTGATATTTAAAATGATTTCCTTCAATATTTAAATAGTCTGCATTGAAATAGTTTTTCTCTGAAGATCTTAATTTTAAAATTATGTGAAGAAAACTAAAGTGGAAAAGGCATTTATTATATGCATCTACTATCGATCATCTCAAATCAAGAGGCTGGTTTGGGAAACAGCCAAGAGGACGTGTGTGGCAGGAGCTCTAGGCCCCTCGTGGCTGAGTGGATGGGAAGGAAAGAAGAGGGCTAATGTTCAGAAAAGGGTCAGGCCAGAGAGGAAAGAACAAGGCAGAATCCCAAAGCCAGTGATGAGAATTTCCAGGAGAGGTTTAAATTAGCAGTAGGGGTCAGAAACTGGGAATAGGCATAGAAGACAGGGATAAGCACTTCTGCCTTCATTCTTAAAGGCTGAGAGAGCAGTTTCTTGAGGCAGTGTGGTTCCACACATTTCTCACAACATTCCTACGTGATAGAGGTGGCATTATACTTATCCCCACTTTTAGGGAAAACCACAACCAAGACTCACAGAGGTGACGAAGCTCTAGATAGGTACAAAATGGAGATGTGAACCTGGGCTGCCACTCTCCAGTGATGAGGTTCTTGTTAGTATATACCTTTATCTGAAAGAGTCACCAAATCTACCCCAACCTAACACATTCCAGAAAAGGGAAACAAGATGGGTTTTCCAAGGTTTAGAGACAGGCAGGTCCTCTGGGGTCTTTTCTCCAGCCTAAGTGTAACAGACATCTTCAAGCCAGAGACAGAGGCGCACGATTCTGGATGCTCTGTGCCCTGTTGTGAGTCCTGGCTTAGCCTGTCGACAAATTCCTATTAGCATTAGAGAGGGTTTAGGCATGAAAAGGGACCATTCTGATGTTTTCTTTTTCACTCATTTCTTCTACCTCAACATGTCTACATTCTTTACTCATCTGTCCCAATATATAATTTATTGCTTTTGCTATGTTATCATTTTGAAGAAAATGAACACTTGGTTCCTTGTATTAAACTTGTAATATCCTTAGCAATTTACATACCTTATCTCATTTTTCTTCTTTTGAATAGCATTCCTTGAGTACTGCTACATGCTAGAAACAAGACATTGAGAATATGAAGGTGTTGTAGAAGAGTGCATACTCCCTGGGGAGACAGAGTATTAATTAATACGTAACTGCAACAGAAGCATGCCAAAGTGCCATAGGAATAAAGGGGTGGGGAGCTTTGCCTTTGCCTTGGGACTCAGTTTATTTTTTTAAAAATCCTCACCCAAGGCTATGTTATCGATCTTATATATAGAGAAAGGTACACAAAGAGACAGAGTGATCGAATGGTTGCCTCCCATACACACCCCAACTAGGGAGAGAACCCACAGTGTAGGAATGTGCCCTGACCAGGGATTGAACCTGCATCCTTTTGGTGTATGGGACAATGCTCCAACAACTGAGCCACCCGGCCAGGGTAGGACTGAGGTTTTCCCTTGGCATCCCAGCCCCTGTGAAGGCCTCTTGTCTGCAGACACCTGAGTGGGTTATGTCCAGAACAGGAATCTCTGAATCGTCTATTAACTTAGCTATTGATTTGTGGCAGCCTTCATCAACACCAGCTTGTCTGTTAAACTAGGGATATAATAAAATAGTATATTATAACGTGTTTGGGAAGAGCAAGTAATGAAATGATGCCTTAAATCTTTCCTGAAAAGATTTTCCATATGCATGTGTTTGGGGGTGCTGCTAAAAATAAACTGTGGAAATATTTACATGTATTATTCATATAAAATAATAAATTCCAGATTTTTTTCTTTTAAAATAGTTATTTATTTCTAAAATATTTTTGCTTCTTTAGGTGATTAAAAGTTCTGGCCATCTCCCAAGAGACAGAGTAGCAGAAGATTTTGTTTGGGCTCAGTGGGACATGTCAGAGCAGAGGTTATACTACATTGATGTGAAGGTAAAAACCAGTCTACTGCCCTTCTCTTTATAGGTACAATTGAATTTTGACATTATCATTATTTTAATTTATTAATTATTGCATTTTCATTGATGGCTTATTAAAAATAAGGAAAATGTTTTCATTACTGTTTGTTTCTTGGCTGCTTCTCTCTCTGTCTTCTGGTTTTTGTTTTTTTAATTAGTGTTTTTGTTGATTTTGACGAGGTAATATGTCATTTATTCTGTTTTCTCTTTTAGAAATCGAGGAGTACCTTAAAATGCATCCAGTTTTGTGGTGATGAGAACTTTAACCTAATGGTAAGTCCAGGAAATGACTGGGCTAGAGGAAAAAATTTAACATGTTCTGCCCCCTTTTAAAGAGGGTTGTTACTGTAAACAGCATTTTAGTGTTCTTGGTGTTCTGCTGGTCAGTTGTGTGAGCAAATAAAGTAGTTCCTGTCATCTCAAGCCTTCAACACTGTAACAACTGCAATTAATATAAACACAGGAAATTTATGCTAAATGAATATCTCACATTAAATAAAAAAGTCTAAGAGTAAGGATTAGTAGAAGCTAATAGGTATGGTCTATAGTAAATCGCTTTAAGTGGTTATGTCATTTGATGCCAAATGACTTGTGAGGTTGGAGGATTTGAGAATAAGGTCAGTGAGAGGGTAAAGTTTAATTAGTAAAAATCTGGCAAGACTCCTGAAAAAGCCATTTGGAATGCTGGCCTTGGGGTGAGGAGTCAAATATTTTTTATTTATAATGAACAATATGTTATTATTCTTCCTAACCAGGACTGATATTGGTGTCTAGACTGCTATCATACTATTATAAGGATTTCATTTATCCTCCTATCCCCCCCTTTTTTTACTTATTCACTCTCCTGCTGAAGACATGCAGTCTTTCCCTTCTTTCTTGGTCTGCTTTGTAAAATCCTTCCAGTTGGTTTATTATACAATCAGTTTATGATATTCAGACCTGAAACAAAGTTTGCCAAGTATTAACCCTTTGAGAAATAAATATATATCAAGCTTGCGATTGTATGTAAATTCCACAATAGTCCTGATGGACTTCTCATGCTGTGTGTCTTCGAACAGCCTGTGAAGATAATGATAATTAAATGGGCTCTTTGTTATTAGGCAAGTACAGTGTTGTCAGGTTTGCTCTAGTCTTCGGAACTATTGTCGCTTAATTAATGCTGTTTTTGGTTTGTTTTCTCCTGACTTTCTGACAGTTTGAGGCACCCTTGGATATATCATTAAGTGACTCAGGATTTAAGTAAGTTGTACTTAAATTTCTATTAATTTTTATAGACACTCTTGGGAAGGATGATTGTATTTATACCTAATGTATGGTATGCCAATACACTAAAAGGATAATTTGATATTCTGTGTGTGTATGTGTGTGTGTGTGTCCTCTTTTATACTTCTGTTCTCTCTTGGAAAAGAAACAGTTTTATCAAGCACGAATATGGGGTTTTTCCATGTAAAGCCAATGATAATTAATTTTTGTAGTCATTTATTTCTGTTTGGTGTCTCCATCTATTTTGATCTATGGATATGCTCTTCTCCCTGTGATTCAATAAAGGATTCAGTGAGTCAGAGGCAACTACATTTAGAATCAAACATCAAAACTTCTTACTTGTTGCCATAAAAGAGAATGTCACAGGGTCAATCCACTTGTAGCTCAACTGAATCTATTGGTTTACTTCTTTTTTCTGTTTTCATTTTTATACAAAAGGTGATTTTCTTCCCAGACTAGTTTAATAAAAAATGAAACACTTTTGAAAAAATAGGGACAAGGTTACCAATGCACAGAAAAAGGAAAGTCTTGAACTAAAGCAATGATAATCCTAAACTATTAAATGTTTTACTAGCTTTATTTCATCATATATAAACATCCAGTTATGCTTATTTTGAAACATGTGCAGTCCTCTATATAAGAAAAAAATGTAAGTTGAAAGTAATTTTTTTCTGTTTCCCAGGCCACATCGTTTATGTAATATGTTTTTTTTTTTAAACTGTTTTGCAGAATTTTTTTAAACCAAAAAACATACTATCTACTTAAATTTTTCAGGGATATGTCTCCACTTCTATAGGTATATTTTAGTGGTTATATCCTTTATAAGAGAACTTATTTTAAAATTTTTTTAATTAAAAAAAATCTTTTATGTTCTTAGACTTGTCAACTTTGGATGCGGTTATCTTCAAGACCAAGAGAATTTACCCAAATACCTGAGTCTGTGCGTTTTTACCAACCGTACAGGTAGAACCAGTGTTGCATTTATCAACTTGTTCAACAAAATTTAGTCATTGTTTAGTTATATGGATCTTGAAAATGAAATATAGTATCCACAGTGTTATATAAATGATCGTACAGATATTTATATACCAGATTATATTCTTCAGTGTAATTTTATGCATCTGCTGCTGTCTATATAAAAGAAGCCACAGTCTGCAGGGTTATTGTCCTAATGCTTATTTTTGTATCCTTATTTTAACAGAGGGGATAGATTCACATTTAATCAGTCTACATTTTCTCTCCTGCTCCATCTTCTACCAAATGGCACAGTGATGGGGTATTTTTTTGCATGAGGCTTACTCATATGTTTGGGTTTTAAACCTCTATTCAGCTGCTTTAAGAGCCAGGCTATGACCCACTGAGCTAACAACGAGAGCGTGATATAAAATTGTTAGTGTACAATCTTCTGTCTCTTGACACCCCTGTATTGTAGATAGAGAAAATAAAGAGGAGGGAAAAGCATACCTGAAAATAAGGAGAGGAATCTAATTACCTGAACAAATCTGGTGGAAAAAAACTGCTCACTAAATTATCAACTCTAATAACCAAATCTACTAGCCATTTTTAATATATCAACTCAAGTGGACAATTATGATGTGAGTTAAGTAGTACCTGGACTAAAATTGTATTCCTTTTAAATCAAAGTATTCTTTAAGCTGACAAGCACTTTCTGTATGCTAGATATTGGGAATACTATGATTAGCAAAACTGAGCTAGTCTTTATATTAATACTATTTGGTGTGGATTTTTTAAAAAATTCAATTAATTATTAACTTAATTTTTTTAATTGTTCAAATACATTTGTTTCTGTTTTCCCACCACCCCTTCCCCTGACCCACCACCCCCACCTCCCACCCTCAATCCTTCCCCACTTTGGCTTTGTCCATGGGTCCTTTATACATGTTCCTTGACTTGCCCCTTCCCCTTCTTCTTCCTGTTACCCTCCTCCCTCCTCCCCACTCATTATTGTGAGTTTGTTTTTTCTTTCAATGTTGCTGGTTATATTTTTCTTGCTTGTTTGTTTTGTTGATTAGGTTCCACTAATAGGTAAGATTGTATAGCATTTGTATTTCACTCCCTGGCTTGTTTCACTTACCGTAATGGTCTCCAGTTCCATCCGTGCTGTCACGAAGGGTAGGAGCTTGCTCTTTCTTTCCTCCTGCTGTGTAGTATTCCACTGTGTAAATGTACCATAGATTTTTGATCCACTCATTTATTGATGGGCATTTAGGTTGCTTTCAGCACTTGCCTATTGTGAATTAGCTGCTATGAACATTGGGGTGCACAGGTTCTTCTGAATTGGTGTTTTGGGATTCTTAGTGAATAATCCCAGCAGTGGAGTTGCTAGGTCAAAAGGAAGCTCCATTTTTAGCTTTTTGAGGATACTCCAAACTGTTTTCCACATTGGTTGCACCAGTCTTCATTCCCACCAATAGTCTACTAGTGTCCCCTTCTCTCCACAAACTCACCAGCACTTGTTTGTTGATTTGTTAATGATGGCCATTCTGACCAGTGTTAAGTGGTATTTCACTGTGGTTATAATTTGTATTTCTCTGATGGCTAGTGATGCTGAGCATCCTTTCATATGTCTCTGGGCCCTGTGTATGTCCTCCTTGGAGAAGTGTCTGTTCAGGTCCATTTTTTAATTGGATTGTTTGTCTTCCTGGAGTGGAGTTGTGTGAGTTCTTTATATATTTTGGAGATCAAACCTTTACCTGAGGTATTATTGGCAATGATGTTTACCCATATGGTTGGTCCCCTTTTCATTTTGCTGATGTGTTCTTTAGCTGTGCAGAAGCTCCTTATTTTGATGAAGTCTCATTTGTTTATTCTTTCCTTTATGTCCTTTGCTCCAGGGGACATATTGGTGAAAATAGTACTGCGTGAAATATCTGCAAGTCTCCTGCCTATGATCTCCTCTAGGACTTCTATGGTGTTGCGACTTATATTTAAGTCTTTTATCCATCTTGAGTTTATTTTTGTGTATGCCGTAGGTTAGTGGTCAAATTTCATTTTTTTGCATGTAGCTGTCCAGCTCTCATAACACCATTTGTTGAAGAGGCTATTTTTAACACCATTTTATGCATCTTCACCCTTTGTTAAATATTAATTGACCATAAAAACATGGGTTTATTTCTGGGCTCTAAATTCTGTTCCATTGACCTATGTGTCTGTTCTTATACGAGTATGAGACTGTTTTGATTACAGTGGCCTTGTAATATAGTTTGATGTCAGGTATTGTAATCCCTTCTACTTTGTTCTTCTTTCTCAAAATTGCTGCAGCAATTCAGAGTTGTTTATGGTTCCATCTAAATTTTTTGAAATATTTGTTCTATATCTGTGAAATGTGTCATTGGTATTTTAATAGGGATTTCATTGAATCTATAAATTACTTTGGGTAGTGTGGATATTTCGATGATGTTAATTCCTCCAAACCATGAACACAGTATATGTTTCCATTTATTTGTGTCTTCCTTAATTTCTTTCTTCAGTGTTGTATAGTTTTCTGAGTCCAGGTCTTTTATCTCCTTGGTAAGGTTAATTCCTAGGTACTTTATTTTTCTTGTTGCTATAGCAAATGGGATTTTTTTTTCCTGATTTCTGATTCTGGAATTTCATTGTTGGTATACAAAAATACCTTTGATTTCTGAATATTGACTTTGTATCCAACTGTTTTGCCAAATTCACTTATTAGGTTGAGGAGTTTTTTTGTAGAGTCTACAGGGTTTTCTATGTACAGTATCATGTCATCTGCAAACAAGGATAGTTTTACTTCCTCCTTTCCTATTTGGATGCCTTTTATTTCTTTTTCTTGTCTGACCGCTGTGGCTAGGACTTCCAATACTATGTTGAATAGAAGTGATGAAAGCAGACATCCTTGTTGTGTTCCCGATCTTAGTGGGAAAGATTTTAATTTTTGCCCGTTGAATATGATGTTGGCTGTAGGTTTTTCATATATGGCCTTTATTACATTGAGGAATGTCCCATTTATTCCCATTTTACTGAGTGTTTTTATCATAAATGGGTGCTGTACCTTATCAAATGCTTTTTCTGCATCTATCGAGATGATCATGTGGTTTTTGTCTTTCCTTTTGTTTATGTGATGTATTACGTTTATTGATTTGCATATATTGAACCATCCCGCATCCCTGGGATGAATCCCACTTGATCATGTTGGATAATCTTAATGTATTGCTGGGTGTGGTTTGTCAATATTTTGTTGAGGATTTTAGCATCTATGTTCATCAGCCTGTAGTTTTCTTTCTTTGTAGGGTCTTTATCTGGTTTTGGGATTAGGGTGATCCTGGCCTCATAAAAAGAGTCTGGGAGTCTTCCCTCCTCTTGGATTTTTTGGAATAGTCTGAGAAGGACAGGGGTTAGCTCTTCCTTAAATGTTTTGTAAAATTCTCCTGTGAAACCATCCAGCCCAGGGCTTTTGTGTGCCGGGAGTTTCTTGATGACTGCTTCAATTTCCCCAGCTGTTACTGGTCTGTTCAAGCTTTCTGCTTCTTCCTCCTTCAGTGTTGGAAGATTATACTTTTCTAGAAATTTGTCCATTTCATCAAGATTTTCAAATTTCTTGGCATGTAATTGTTCATAGTAGTTTCTGACAATCCTTTGTACTTCGGTGGTATCAGTTGTTATTTCTCCTCTTTCATTTCTGATATTATTAACTTGGGTCCTCTCCCTTTTTTTCTTGATGAGTTGCTTAAAGGCTTGTCCATTTTGTTTATCTTTTCCAAGAACTAGCTTCTAGATTTGTTGATGTTTTGAATTGTTCTTCTGGTCTCTATGTAATTCATTTCTGCTCTGATCTTAATTGTTTATTTCCTTCTACTCTCTCTGGACTTTGTTTGTTGTTTCTCCAGTTCTTGAAGCTGTATGGTTAGGTTGTTTATTGGAAATATTTTTATCTTTTTTAGGTAGGCCTGTATTGCTATGAAGTTCCCTCTGAGGGCTGCCTTTGCTGTGTCCCATAGGTTTTGGACTGTTGTCTGTTGATTTTCATTTGTTTCCAGAAACTTTTCGATTTCTTCTCTTATCTCATTATTGACCCATTCATTGTTTAATAGTCTACTGTTTAGTCTCCATGAGTTTGCAAGTTTTTGAGGTTTCTCTTTGAGGTTGATTTCCAGTTTCAAGCCCGTGTGGTCTGAGAAAAAGCTTGGTATTATTTCAATTTTCTTGAATTTGCTGAGGCTTGCTTTGTGTCCTATCATGTGGTCTATCTTTGAAGAAGTTCTATGTGCATTTGAAATGAATGTGTATTTTGCTTCTTCGGGATGTAAGGTTCTATACCTTACATTAAGCCCATTTGATTGAGTGCGTCATTCAGCTCCACAATATCCTTGTTGATGTTTTGTTTGGAAGATCTGTCCATTTTTGACAGTGGGGTGTTGAAATCCCCTACTATCAGTGTGTTGCTGTCTATCTTTTTTGAAGTCATCCAAGATTTTCCTTATGTATTTGGGTGCTCCTGTGTTGGGTGCATATAAGTTTACAATGTTTTTGTCTTCTTGATGGATTCTTCCTTTAAGTATTCTAAAGTTTCCCTCTGGGTCTCTTTTTGTGGCCTTTGTTTTGAAATCTATTTTGTCTGATTTAAGTATTGCTACCCCTGCTTTCTTTTCTTGCCCATTTGCTTGGAATATTTTTTTCCATCCCTTTACTTTCAATCTGTGTAGGTCTTTTGTTCTGAGATGGGTCTCTTGTAGGCAGCATGTGTTTGGGTCATGTTTTCTAATCCATTCAGCTATCCTGTGTCTTTTGATTGGAGCATTTAGTCCATTAACATTGAGAGTTATTATTGATAGAAACTTATTCATTTTTTCTCTTTGTACCTGTGTTTTTCTCTTTCTCACTCTTTTCCTTCATCTTCTTAAACCAGTCCCTTTAGCATATCTTGTAGTGCTGGTTTGGTGGAGACGTATTCTTTCAGCCTTCTTTTGTCTGGGAAACTCCTT